GGTGCAAGATTAAACCTTCACAAGTGAATCTCAACTCACTCAACCCCTTCAAGGATTAACCCAATCCAAGAAGAATACAAAACCCTTGTAAGACAATATACCCAAAAGCTCACAAGAAGAAGAAGAAGGAAACCTAGAACTGTTTCAAACTCTGTTTTTCTATAGCAGTTCATCCTTCTTCTCTTTATTCTCCAGATCTGAACTTTTGATTATTATAATAGGGGATTTTGGAGCCTTGCAATTAAAGTCCATTTAGCCCTTTAAAGCCACTTCACAATTGCCCCAATTAGGTTCCACCTTTTTCTTCTGATTTGTCTTGGAAAGTGCTAAGACATTTAGATCCCCTAGAACTAGAACCCATTAAGAATAAATAAATAGTTGAGCTGTCATAATTTACCATTTCAAAATTTTTGCTTCGAAGCCAGAAATATTGCTTCGAATCATTTTCGGAAAACAAAAGTTCGAGATTGATTCGAACCAAAATAAATTGGTTCAGATCCAAAACTCTGAACAAGGAGGAACATGAATTAATTCTAATCGTGAGGAAAAATTAGAATTCTTGAATTAATTTTCCTGCACACTTAGCACAAAAATAGATTAACTCTTTTGAATCATAATTTTAAATCATCATCAAAATACAAAGAGAACCTAACAAGGTGAACAAATTAGAGGGATTGTCTTGTAACCTAAATTAAATTAAATACCTCATTTGCTAGATTTTAGTCAATAATTTAGGACTTTCAAAATTAATTATCTATTTTTTCTATTTCAAATGTTATTTAATGTATTTATTTTTTAAAATTATTTTTGAAAATAATTATAATATATTAAATAGAAAGTTTGTTTAAATAATGATTAATTAAAAGTAAATATAAAATTTTACTAGTGCTAGTAATTATTAATTATTATATTCTTTTTTATTAAATATAAAGATTAGGCTTATTAAACGTCCAGAAACTTCTTTCGGAGCAATAACCAACAACCAGGCCTTCAGACTCTGGCGGTCTGGCCTGCTTCGGCTACTATGGGCTGAATACTGTAAACTGAACTGTTGGGCTTGGGTTGGGGATTTTAAATGTGCACTGAAATTTGTTGTTTGTATCAGCCCAGGAAAATTTGGGCAAGAAAGCAAATTTTGTGTAACAAAGTTATTAGATTAGGCTTTTTTGGTTTTTAATTTTTTTTCTTTTGATATATATATATATATAAGAAGAGAAGGCTTTTTTATTGCACATATTGTGAATAAAATTTTCCGTTATCAAATTGGAATCATTAAACGCCTCCTCTAGGTTGATTGACTACTCATCCAAAAAAATGGACATTATTAAACTCCTAATAATAGAAGATAACTAATGCATTCAAGATTGATAAAAAAACACTCACACGTTTAAATTTTAAAATACAAAACCTCCAAGATATTAGAAATAATGACCCTATTCAATTTTAGTTGTTATAATTTGATATTTTAACTTTTTAAACATTAATTTAATAAAAAAGTTAGAGTCTATTTAGTATGATTGTAGTTTTGAATTTTTGATTTTGATTTTAGTTTTCAAAAAATTAAAAACCTAAAACAAAATTAAGTAATTTTATAAATTAATGAATTTATAATTATAAGTATTCATTTTAAAAATTTGTATTCAATAAGTTGATAATTATAATTTTTATTTTTAATTTTTAATTACTAATTTTAATTATTTAAAATTTAAAAATCAAAACTAAAAATTATAATTATACAAAACGTAGCTTTAATGTATACAAACGACATTTCTTTTATCATCAAATAAAACTATTCAATAAAAATTATATTAAAAAATAAAATTTTCAATTATCATTAATATGTTTGGTGACTAATTAATGTGTGAAAAGTCTAGAAGAGTTTAAAAATAAAAACACTACCAAGTCGTGAAGTCTTTTTTATTTATTTTTAATAGACATTTAATAATAAAATATATAATTTTTCTAACCTATAAAAATTTAAAATTTTAATCATTATGTCCCTAAAAGATGACGTGGAGTCTATTACTAAATGTACAAGGAGTAAAGAAATAGACATTAGCCTTAAATCACAAACACAAAATTTTATTTGTAAAATGATTACTTGCATCAAAACGAAAACTCCACGACGTACAGAATTGAGATCTATCCCGTTACACGATAATACATACAGGTCGAAGAAATCGACGAGGGAGGAGAAGTAAGCATTGAATTTTATTGAAAGTTGGCATTAATTTATGGGACCATCAGAGCTGGAATCTATAACATAATGCTTCACGCGTTCATCTAGATACCTTCTACTGTACTTTGTACCCCAACATGATGGAAGACAAAAATAAAAGTGGAAACTTGCCGACGACGTAGCAAGACAGCGAAAGATCGATTGTATAAAACAATGGGAAAAGTTGACAACAAAACTAAGTAAATCAGTGATTAATTTTTTTTATTAAAAATAAAAACTTTTAAATTTAACTCGTATAACATGTAGATGAGATAAAATAAAAAATGAGAGATAATTGTTTCGTATTGTGCAACTTAAAAAAAAAAAAAATGGGAAGAGTTGGGATTTTTTTTTTGGTCTGTCTAATTAAATTAATTATGAAGGGAATTTTCTCAAAAGGAAATCAAGGGAATGGAAATAATATTGTTTCTAAAGATCTAGGTTTTTGTTACTATTGGTAATTGTTAGCATAAATATTTGTTATAATTAGTCAAATTAATATTTATTAATTTAAAAACTTTAATTTAAAACTCCGTGTATACCTAATAGTCAATTTTTTAATATATCTAAAAAATTATTTTTCTTGATAACAAAGTGTGAGGTGTTTATTAACATTTATTGATAGGAGTATTTTTTTTTTCTCATTTCCTAATTTGATTTTTATTTCCTAACATTTATTGACAAAGTATTCAGCTATTCTATCCATCAGATTTAACTGTCCTAATTTAATTTTTAGATAAATTTTAATTAAATAATAAATAAATAATAATTAAAAATTATTTTCCTTTTATACATCATTCTTATTGGATATTTTTATTTAAATAAAAAAATTCAATTGCCATTCATTTTTTTATGTAAAATCACCAAGTTAATTTACATAAAATTAAGAGAATTGAGACAACTAAAAACAACAAGAGGGAGTATTTGAAAGAGATTCAAACTCATGATTTTAATCATAAATAAAAAATTTTCAATTAGTAGGGAGCTAAACTTTTGTTAGTAGCTTTTGTAGATTGCCTTATTAATTCTAATAATATATTTGAATTGAGAAAAATGAGAGTAAAAGGAGAAGAGAAAAATTTTTTTTTTCTATTTAGTTATAAAAAAAATTTAAAGAAAGAAAAGAGAAAAAAACCTCTTTCACTTTATTTTTTTTATT